TCATTTCCCGATGGGGCACAACTCAAAATGAAGAGAAGCCGCTGTAAACATCTATTAATAATTGGAACATGGAATGTACAAAGTATGAATCTAGAAGAATTGGAAATTGTCAAAAATGAAATGGAACGCATAAACTTCGATATCCTAGGCATTAGTGAGCTGAAATGAACTGGTATTGGCCATTTTGATTTTGATACTTAAGACATATTATCAGGAGGGACCAGTTGCTGGAGAAGGATATCATGATTGGTAAAGTGGAGGGTTGGAGGAAAAGAGGAAGACCCACATCGAGATGGATTGGAACAGTGGCAGCAGCGATGGGCTCAGATGTAGTAACAATTGTGCGGTTGGCCCAGGACTGGGCAGTCTTTCGTTCTGTTGTGCACAGGGTCTCTATGAGTCGGTTCTGACTCGATGGCACCTGACAACAACAACAACCACAACACAAGGAGTCTATGCTTCTGCTCACTGAAGCCTAAGCTTAGAAAATAATCTCACCTGTGGTAGATTGCTGTAAAAAAGAAAGAAGAGCCATGCGTGGAGCACATCCTTTGGAGCCTGAGATCCCTGTGCTGAGCCTCCTTGATCTTGGAGAGAGATTTGTGATACCAGAGATGGCCAGAGCCAGCAGAGGCAAGAGAGAGAGACAGAACAGTGGGCTTTCTGGCCCACTGAGCAAGACATCAGAGTGTCTTGGGCCGGGAGGCTTGCTGGCTGAATGGGAACTTAATGAGGGAAGTGAAGTTTGAGGACCCACAGAGCTAGAGCTGAGTGTCTTTGGGCCAAGATATGCTGGTGTTTGTTGTTGTTAGTGTCTGAGTCAGTACCGACTCATAGAGATCCTATGTACAACAGAACAAAACACTGCCCGGTCCTGGGCCAACCTCACTATTGTTGCCACGCTTGAGCCCACTGACGCTGCCACTTGTCAGTCCATCTGGCTGGAGTCTTCCTCTTTTTCTCTGACCCTCCACCTTACCAAGCATGATGTCCTTCTCCAGAGACTGGCCCCTCCTGACAATATGTCCCAAGTATGAGAGAGGAAGTTTGGCTATCTTGGCCTCCAAGGAGCACTCTGACTGCACATCTTCCAACACAGATCTGTTGGTTCTTCTGGCAGTCCATTGCAGGAGTACAGTTCTCGCAGGGTCGCGGGACACAAAAGGAGACGTGGAATCGGCGAAAATGAAAGCAATCGAGGAATCTCTGCTTAGTTGGCTGATGGAGCTCTCTCTCTCTCTCTTTTTTCTGTTTTCTTCTCTCTGCCCCAGTTCAGCAAGTCTTTATTTTTATACTTAAAACTACATAGTACATAATGAATTGATACTTTGATCTTTCCTTAAATTATCACACAGTTTCAATCACAACATTCCTTTACCTGGTGATTAGACAACCTTGACAAAAGTATTTCTGTGATGTTCAAACTGACTTTTATCTCCTCTTCTATGTAAGTGATAAATTGTTTCTTATTTCCACTAAAAGATTAAGTCAAACTTTACACAAATCATTTCCACTTATGAGACCCCTGATTGCATCCTCTTAGTAATATAAGTTTCTATTAATCATCAATGTTTGCACTACTTTATTATTTCTACTATCAATCTTCTATCCTACATAATGTACTACTATTTTCATAGTAAAAGTATTATTAACATCTACTTAATTATTTTGTTTTTCTAGAGTATTCATTAAATTGCTTGCTAAGTGTGTTCTTATGTTTCTTTCTTTTGAAGCTGTGAGGGATAAAGCCCCACCTGGCTAATTCCTGCAGGAAATGTAGATTATTAAGTTAAAACTACCTTCCACTTATGTTCACTGTTTTCTGCCTACTCTTGCAGGTGCCTGTATGTAATAGTGGGAATTTGTGGATTCCAGCTGATAATTGATTGTGGTGAGGTCTATAGGGGTCGGTCAGCTTGACTTTAATTTGTTATCTGCTTTTGTGGTCTCACAAATGCAGTTACTTTGTACTTAGGTTTTCTGTGAAAGGGAGTAAGTTATACAATTCCCTTTGAATTCAAACCACTGAAGTTGAAATAATTGTTGCCAGACTGGTTTCTTCCCAAGGTCTGCAGAGCTCATAGTAAAATGCTATGAATATGGCCATATTATATATTTTTACAAGTGAATTCAGAGTTATCCTAAAAAGGGGATAGAGGCCAGCTCCTGAGAATCATGCTTTGCATGATGTTTCACCTTCTGCTGGGACTGTGTCAAATAGCAGAAGTGACATGATCGCTTCCCGAAGTCCATGGCACTTTTAATATTCTCCTCCAACACCAGAACTCAAAAGCATGAATTCTCCTACAGTCTTCCTTATTCACTGTCCAGCTTTCACATGCATATGAGGTTATTGAAAATACCATGGCTTGGGTTAGGCACAGCTTAGTCCTCAAGCTGACATCTTTGCTCTTTCACAATTTAAAGAGGTATTGACTGCTGCTTCCCTGAGTGTTGATGGTTGATTTGAGCAAAATGAAATCGTTGACCATGCTGGTAGGGTGGGCTTTCATCAGTAGAGCTTCACTTGCTCGAGAAGGACAGAGCACAAGGGACCACAGGAATGAGAGGCAAGAGCTAAAAAAGCTTTAGCAGGGCTATGAGGCTGAAGGCCTGGGCGTGCCTGTGAGCACAGCTGGGAGGAGGCTGTTCTGATCAAAGAACTGTATCCTGGGCATTCTGGATTCTGGTCTCGAACCTGTGACTTCCCTACTAAGCCTCATCATCACAGGAAGGCCTGAGTTCGGCGTGGCTAGTGTAATGAATTTTATAGAACCTGTGACTTCCCTACTAAGCCTCATCGTCACAGGAGGCCTGAGTTCGGCGTGGCTAGTGTAATGAATTCCCCAGTGCAGTCAAGCAGAGTGTGGTGGCCAGGATGGCTGCTGTCAGAATTGGTAAATGGTTGCAGTGGCAACATGTCTGCATTTGGCGTCATGGGAATCAGCCTTAGGCTGCTGGTTTTCATTCTCCTTCGCCCAGTGAAGTCAGATATTGCCCCCACACTATTTTTGCACCCCTCCAAACCTAAACCCGACTTAGTGCCCTTGAGTAGATTCTGACTCTCAGTGAGTGTATAGGACAGAACAGAACAGACCTCCAGGCTTCCCGAGGCTGCAAACCCTTACAGAAGCAGATTGGGACTTATTTCTTTGAGAGAGCAGCCGGACGGTTGGAACTGCTGACCTTCTGATTCACGGCAGAGCACTGTAACCACCATGCCACCAGAGCTCCTTCGTCACCCCTCATAGTAGAAATGTAGAGTTCTGAACTCTGACATAGGTATCTTACAGCATTGCTGTGAGTCAGAACCGACCCAAAGGCAGTGGGTTGATTTGGGACCCAGTATAGGACACAGGATACAGTGATAGGCATGACTGTGTGTGAGAAAGACCCAGGGGAGTGGCTTGTCCCAAAGCTCTGCATTTCCCAACATTGTAATATTAGCTCTGAAGAAGTATGCTAAGCTGTTTGGTAGAATTAGTGTCCAGCACGAAGACTGTTGTTAAGCACTGGAGAGTCGGTTTTGACTCATAGAGACCCTGTGTAGTGTTTCTGAGGAGTGATGGGGTTGGAATCACTAGCCTTGTGGTTAGCAGTCTAGTGCTTATCCTATAGTGACATGTCAGGACTCTAGAGTGAAGGCAGTGGGGTCTTCAGTGGGTCTGGGTGAGGAAGCTCAGTGAAAGTCTGTCTACCAATTGGAGAGGGCTCCAAGGAAGGGGGTCACAAGGTCCGAGGGCAGCGAGGAACTGAAGTTCTTTAAGCTATAGGGGATGGCCTTGGACAGGCACCAGTCCTCAAATATCTGAAGGGAGAACTTGTGCACCTTTCTTCTGTATAGGTCCAAAGGCTCCTGGGGTGGCGCTGTAGGATAAAACTACTAACCTCAAGGTTGGTGGTTCAAACCTACCAGCTGCTCCTTGCTCCTCCGAACCAACTATACAGCGCTTAACAACAAAGGGACAATTGAGAAGTGGGGACACAGGTTCAACCTAGTGTAAGGAAGCTTTGGTGGGGGGGAGTTCAAAGTTCAAATCCCTTCCAGAACTTAACCATATTTTCTTCACTCCCTTGGTTTTTATTCTAGAATGTATGATTTTCAAGAAGCTGAAGCCATTTTAGCTCATTTCCACTCTGCCCTCAAGGCAACTGGTTCAAGAATTTGCAGGGAACACGGAGGTCACCTGCTGTGGACACACAGCCGCAGGTCTGTCAAGGTTGAATTGCAGTCCCTGGCACGTTGGTGCTGCTGTCCTTCCAAAAAACTGAGGAGCCCTGGTGTGCGGCGCTGTAGGATAAGCACTGGGTTTGAGCAGCAAAGTCGGTGGTTCAAACCCACCAGCCATTCCTCGGAAACCCTGTACACGGCTGCTATGGGTCGGAACCGACTCGATGGCACATAACAGCATAACATGCCCCCAGCAAAAGAAGTTTTTGGAAATGAAGCCTAGCGAAATGAAACATGGGCCTATGTGCATAGATGTCCTTACAGCGAGGTCAGGGTGGGCACCCACTCTGCAGAAGAGGAGGCGGTGGAGCCCCAGGAGAACTTGGTTTCTTCTTTATGTCCCCCTTTGTCAGGGGCCTGGGCTATCCTCCTGGTTCACGTGCCCAAGGAGCCCATCTGGGAACTGGTCCCTATGGTTTCCTTGAGTCTTGTCTTTCAGGGTTCAGCTTATTATTAGCTAACTTTTGGTCTCCCGTCTCCCCCACCCTCACGACCGAGGTTGTCCTGTTTCCTGCAGACTGGCCACACCCCCTTCTTTCCCTGTTCTAACTAGTTAACAGGTCCAGGTTACGCTCGGCTCCACGGGCTAAGGTGACGGGATCCCGCAGGGGGGTCCCAGAGCAGGAAAGACAGAGATCGGAATCAACAGCCAAGTTCAGCAGCGGCGCCCAGCAACGACCTTGGCGACTACCGGGCTCGGATTGGTTACGTCGGGCCATGTGATACGCACTTCCTGCATCATCGGAAGTGACATTTTCTCCTAGGTCCCGCCTCCGGCAGAGGCGGAAGTGGAGTCTCCCGGGTCGTCTCTTCTACACCCGCCGCTCGGCCCATGGCCGCCTATCCCTACCGCCACGGCCCTGGCGCCGGCGCCGCCCCTGCTCCGGGCTCGGCGTTGCCGGATCAGAGCTTCCTGTGGAACGTCTTCCAGAGGTGAGGTCCATGCCCCCGAGTCTCCGGCCCCGCTTGCGGTGCAGAGCCCGCCGCCTACGCCCCCTCCCCCGGGGCCGGCGTTTCCCCTTCCCGCCTCGCCCGCCCTCGGGTTCCCGGGGATCTTGGCTTCGGGGAGCGGGGACCACAGGCCCGAGCGCCCGCGGACACGGGCGGAGTCGGTGCCGCGCCCCAGTCGCCTGAACGAGTGAACGGCCGAGACTTGTTGGGTGCCGGCCGGGCGTGACCCGGGACAGGTTGGCTCCGTGTGCCGGGCGGCTGGGGCGCGGGGCCGGGAGAACCCGCCCGCCCGCGCTGCCGCGCTCCGCTTCCTTGCCTGCTAACGCCGGATCTCCTAGGGTGGACAAAGACCGGAGCGGGGTCATCTCAGACAACGAGCTGCAGCAGGCGCTGTCCAACGGTGAGTGCAACCACAGGACACGGGACGCAGGCCCGGCGCACCCTTTTCAGGTGGATCTCCTTGCCACGGAGCTGGTGGTGCCGTGGGTGAGCGCTCCCGCCACCAGCCGCTCATCCACAAAGGTTACAGCCTCGGCTCCCCTCGCAGGCCCTTCTCCTTGCCCTGTAGGCCTGCTATGAGTCACACTTGCCTGGAGGGGAATAGTTGTTTTGGGCTGGGTAGGATTGGTATGTGCTGGTGTGTTCTGGTGTATTTTTCCATGTGATTTCCTCATTACGTTCCAGGGTTCACCCAGCTCCTTAGACAGCTGTGTGGCTGAGCACAGCATCCCGGGACCTGGAGGTTAGGCTGCGGGTTTGAGGGAGGAATGAGCACTGTAGCTTTGCACAGCAGAACCAGGCGGATCCCGCCCGATCACTTACTCTTTGACCCTCAGTGATTCCTTCAGGTGAATCATCAAGGTCACGGAGGGCACTGATCCGGTTACCAGTTAGTGGATGCTGATGAAATCCCAGGGTTTGGAGGAGGTCATGTGTGGGGATGTGGTTCCCGTGGCAGCGTCTGGGGATGCTGGTGGCATTGGGGGAGTTGCTGTTGGAGTGGGGGACAGACTGAGGCAGAGGACAGCTGTGGCTGTTGCCCTAGTGTGGGGTGAGGCTGGCTCAGCACAGGCTTTCAGCCGAGATTCCTGATTCTTAAAGCTGTAGCTTGCCTTTTCGGAAGCTGGTGGTTTTAGAATGCTGTTGGGAGAGCTGAAAGGCTCACCTGCCCTCTTCATTAGTGGAAACACTTTAGGTCATGGAAGGAGACTTGACTAGGGATGCCGAGGCCCTCATCACCTTGTCAGACCAGGCACCCCGTGTTTGCTTCCTTCCTGCCTCGTGGCTTGTACTGAGCTGAGGTTCTGCTTTTACGTGACAGGCTGTAGATCCCGCCAGCGTCATTCTGCAGTGTTTAGCACACACGGGTTACAGACATTGTGTGTGTTTCATGTGCAGTCTCATGAATCTAAGATGTTCCGTGGTCTCTGCCCTGATGATTGTACCTTCCTGACTCCTTGCTTACTCTATCTCACCCATTTTTGTTTTGATTTGTGTCCTCAGTTCTTGAATTGTACTCAGGGGAAGTAGGAGACAGGTTCCTAGAAAAATGTCAATAGAACCTAGAATCCAGCAGGCGAGTTTGGAAAATCCTGACTTAGCGCTTTCTAAATTCTTCATTTCCCCTTAGTAAAAGTGTCAGATGCCTGCAGGCTAATGTGACCTTCCCCACAGTGGTGGGGATGAGGCTTCCCAGCTCAGAGGCACTGCTGCTGGGAGCGTTCATTCAGCGTCACTTTTCAGTGAGTAATCAGGGTTTTGTGATCTTTTCAGCCAGGGCTGGGGACCCTTTTTTCTGCCAAGAGCCATTTGCATCGTTACAACATCACTTAATAGAACTTTTTGCTGTTATGAAAAAAGCTCCTAGATTTATTGACTTTCAGGTCCCACCTGCAGATGCCTTGGCAGGAACAGACCAAAAGATTTCATGGGCTTTTACAGCCCCTGGGCTGGATACTCCCCACCCCTGCTTTAAACAGTCTGCAGGTGTCTAGTTGCTTGAGATTTTGAGAGGCCTGTCCACCCTGGAGAGCTCCTGAGGTCAGAGGCCTGGGTTTTAGTCCAGTTCCTACCATTTGTAGCAAGGCTGCGGCCTGCCTCGTGCGGAGCGCTACAGCATGCCTAGTACGTGCTCAGCTGAGCACTGTTAGTCACCTGCCGATCTTGGGACTTTACTGGCTAAGCGGCCTGTTCCATCTTAGATGATTCCGTTTCCTGGTGACCATAGAGGTGGTGCTGACCATCATTTATAAGCATCTTCTACATGTGGCCCATGTGCCAGGCACTTTTCTGCGGGCAGCACTTTTCCCGTGGGAAGGAGTGCCCACACCCAGGGAGGTGGCCCTTCTTTCTGACCAAACATGCAGGTCTGCTTTCCTCTAGCTGGTCGATACAGCATGTGGCTCTTTAATCAACTGTCAGCAAGTGTCTTTCAGGACAATGTGGAGCTCAGCTGATGCTTAGGAGAGAAAGCGTTTTATAAGTGTTGCTTTAAAACAAAAGATTTCAGTTCACCAATTCCTCAGATACTTTGCTATCAATACCTAGTTGTTGGTTTGAATTGCACCTGTAAATATGACCCTGTTTGAAATTAGGAATTTTCCTTTTGCCATATTAATGAGGCCACTCCAGTGTAGGGTGAGCCCTCAATAACTTAGAATTATACAGAGAGAGACTTGGGGGAGAGGCAGACAGAAGCATCTAGAAGCCCAGAAACTCTTAAGGGTTGCTGGCGTTACTAGGAGCTGTTGTTGTTGTTAGGTGCCCCTGAGTTGGTGCCAATACCTAGTGACCTGAGGCACAATGTAGTGAAACTGCCCAGTCCTCTGCCAACCTCACAATCATTGCTATGCTTGTCCACGGCTGCTGCCACTGGGGCAGTCCATCTCATTGGAGGTCTTCCTCTTTTTCTCCAACCCTCCATCTTACCGAGCATGATGTCCTCCAGGGACTGGTCCCTCCTGATACCATGTCTGTAGTATGACAGATGCAGTCTGGCCAGCGTGGCTTCCAAGGGGCATTCTGGCTGTCCTTTCATTGCAGATCTGTTTGTTCTTCTGGTATTCCGTGGGCCTTTTACTCTTCTTTTCCATCACCGTAGCTCAGATGCATCAGTTCTGTTCGGGTGTTCTTAATTGTTGTTCAACTTTCACATGCACGTGAGGCTATTGAAAAGGTGCACCTGAGTCCTCAAACTGATATCTTTGCTCTTGAACACTTAAGGAGGTTTTGTGTAGCACATTTGCCTAATGCAGTGCATCATCTGATTTCTGGACTGCTGCTTCCAAGAGCATGGACAGTGCATCCAAGCATAATGAAGACTTGGACTCCTTCACTCTTTTCTTTATCATGATGTCATCTGGTGCTCAATTGCTTAGGACTTTTGTTTTCTTTCCATTGAAGAAAATGTCTGACTCCATACTGGAGGCTGTGGCCTTTGACCTTTACTAGGAAGTATTTATGTCCTTTTTGCTTTCAGCAAGCTAGGTGCCATCTGCGTATCGCAGGTTGTTCATGAGTCTTCCTTCATTCTGGATGCCTCATTCTTCATATAACCCAGCTTCTTGAGTTATTTATTTTGCATGCAGCTTGAATAAGTATGATGAAAGAATACAACCCTGGTGCCCACCTTCCCTGATTTTAAACCATTCAGTGTCTCCTTGTACTGTTTGAACAACTGCCTCTTGGTCTATGTACAGGTTTCTCATGAGCACAAATAAGTGTTCTAGAATACTCGTACTTTGCAGTGTTGTTCTGTAGCTTGTCAGCTCCGCACACAGTCAGCAAAGCACAGGCGCATCTTTTTGGTATTCTCTGCTCTTAGCCACGATCCAGCTGACGTCAGTGAGATCCCTCATAGCACGTCCTGAATCAGGTTTGAGCCTCTGGTAGTTCCCTGTCAGTGCTATGTTGGTGCCAGTTTTGAATAATCTTTAGAAGATTTTTCCTTGCATGTGATTACAGTGTTATTGTCTGAAGGTTTCCGCATTCTGTTGGTCACCTGTCTTTGCAGTAGACGCCAGTGTGTAAGTGAGGCAGTTAATGAATAGGCCTGCGTGTCCAGTCCTTCGACAGCCTCACCTGTTCCCCCAGCATTGGGCTTCTGTTCTGACCCCGGTGTTGGGAGGGTGAGGTGCGCAGAAGGAAGCTCTGCCTTGTCCCGTGTGAACCCATCTGTGATATCAGAAGGAGTCTGTTAGGGCATTTCAGGAAGCCAGTGCTGGTGGGGGACCAGCTTCAGAGTGGCGGAGCTGCTCGTATCCGTGAGGTGTGCCTCTGCTGGACCTCACCGGGAGCTGTCCTGGCCGCACACCGGCTCCTTTATGAGCCCATTACCACAGGAGCGTTTCTAAAAACAGCTGCTCCGCCGACGCCTACAGCCAGACGGCCAGGACAGAGGGGGACTGTTCGCAGCCTCTGTGTGGAGCAGGATGTCTGCAGTTTGGTACCCTTTTTTTTAACTTTCGTATTTCTTGGAATTGTAAGAGTTGTTACCCAAGCTTCCCTTTTGTCCTTTTGCTATAGGTTTGCTTTAACGTGTTGATATATTTCAGCTGTATTTTTACCCCAGAACAGCCGCTTGATTGTGTGTGTGTGTGTGTGTGTGTGTGTGTGAGAGAGAGAGAGAGAGAGAGAGAGAGAGAGAGAGAGAGAGAGAGAGAGAGATTTGGGTGAAAACTTACAAGGCAATTGATTGGTTTTCTTTTCAACAATTCCCACACACTGTGTTTTGTGGCACTGATTACAACGCTCCCAGAGTAAACACTCTTCCCAGGTGTCCCTTGTGTTTCTGTTCCCGTTCCTGGTTCCTGTTTGTCTGTCTTCCCCACCTCTGGCTGCCTTCTGATCTTTGTTGTTAAGTGACGTTGAGTTGATTGCAGCTCATAGTGACCCTGTATAGTGTTTCCGAGGGACCACTGGTTTGAACTGCCGACCTTGCGGTTAGCAGGCTGCAGTCTGGGCAAATGCTGCTCTTTGGTGGCTTGCTCTAAGGGGTGTGTCCGGTGTGTTCCTCTGTGGTGCTGGTGTTTACTTCCACGCTTGGCTGAAACTTACACCACCGAGGTCGGGGGTGAGTTCAGTTCCAGGCCTGCAGGGTGTCTGGGGGCCATAGTCCTGGGTCTTCCAATCTCTTACGATTCTGAGTTTGTTCCACATTTTGCTCCCACGCTGTCCAGGCCCTCATCAGAGCGGTCATCAGTGGCAGCCGGGCACCATCTAGTCCTTCTGCTGGGTCCTGGAGGCAGGCTTCATGCATCTAGTCATCCTTGGGACAGAATGCTTCCTGTGTGTCTGAGTGTCTTCACTCTTCTTGGCTCTGAATCTGACCCGGGAGAGGCCGGTAGTTGCAGCCTGCACAGCTGTATATTTACAGAAACTCTGTTACTGAGCCCTTTTGAAGGTGTTTTTATAAGATGGGGATCTTGCATCAGACAGAAATGAGAGGACTCAGGATGCCTCCCTCCCCACTCCTAGCAGATCCTTTTAGGGGTTAATGATGATGCAGTGCGGGTCTTCACTCTGCCTATGTTGGAGGGGGGGCACTCTGGGGGCTGGGGGCGCTGACTGGGAAGCGATCTGCCCTCTGGGGCCTGGAGCCACCACGCCTAAAGGTTTGTGTAATGTTGTGATGGTCATCAGCACTTGCTGACCCCACCAAGTGCCTGGTGCCCCTGGAGGCCGCCCTTCACATGTGCTGTCACCTCAGTGATAGGGGACTTGGGTGTGCCCCACGTGATTCCATGGGGACTGGGCTCAGGCCACACATGCAGAGCTGCTGTGCTCTGTGTCCTTGTAGTAACCCTAACCGTGGGTGTCCTGGGAGTCATGGAGTCCAGGGTGGTCTCGGGACCCAGCCAACCTGTCATTTGTGCTGCCAGCAGCCCACCCATCTGAATTCTGGATGTTGGACTTGGTGGGCCCAGCTTGGCTGATGAGTCTGTGCACATCACCCTTCTGAATGTGAATGTGGCTAGACTCCACAGTGTGTCCTCTGCCAAGCCCTGTCCCCTCTGCGCCCCTCAGAAGGCACTGACAGGCACTCCCCTCCCCCCAGCACTTGAAAATCTGCTCTCTAGCTTCTCTGGACAATTTGTAAGACCTGGTGATGAGCCTCGTCTGTCCCGTCTGTCTCCCATGGGGACGGTTGGCTGAGGTGGAGGCGGGCAGAGCCTCCTAAACAGGGCAGTGGTACCTGGCTTATGTGAAACCTCCCCACTCCCCACCCCCCAGTCCCTGCTCCCCTCCCTCACATCACACCCCCCGGGGTTCTGAAACAGCCCAACTCATTTGGGACAATCAAACGCTGTGTGGTTCTGCACCCTCCTGGTTTTGGTTGTGGATCCGACGGTTGTTGTTAAGTGTCGTGGCGTCGGGTCTGGCTCATAGTGACCCTGTATGGGAGCACCTGGTGGGTTTGAACCACTGACCTTGCAGGACTCCTGTGCATCTTTACAATTGCTCAGGCAGGGAGGGGAGCAGGCGTCCACATTCCTCAGGAGTCCCTTCAATAAGAGGGTCCCTGTCTCACTCTTGTCCATGTTCCCCCATCCTGCCCAGAGCCCCTCCTGTGAGCTGACAACGTTTTCAGGCTGACAGGTGCCCAGGGTGGAGGGGAGAACGGACCCTGAGGAACCCCAGTGGGGGAGAGAGAGGCTGGGGGTGCCCCGTCTAGCAGGAGAATGGAACTCCTCCCCCGGGGAATATGCTGCCTGAGATTGACAGGAGGGTCTCACTTGAGGAGGAGGAGCAGTGCTCCCGTGGGGCTTGGGAGGAGCCCAGTGAGACGAGAAGCCAGAGGGAGGCGTCGGTGCCCTCAGTGCTGCTGCTTGCCTTCCAAGTAGGAACTGTTAGTACAAGCAAGCATAAAAATACTCCTGTCTGTGTGGTCAGGAGATCGTGTTCCTGTGTGCCACCCGGACGGAGTGACTTGTACGTGAAACACTTTTGTATATAGAAGAACAAACAGTGTCCTTTGACAAACGAGAGAGGGGAGTGGCAGATCACACCGCTTCCCCCAACTTAAACAGGATTTCAGAGTTTACCTTTAATGACTGTGACAAATGTACTCATCACTGGAAATAGGTGTCATCAAAGTAGATAAATTCCTAGCATCCTCGTTACTATTCTGTTGGTGTTAAATGCCTTTGAGTCAGTTCTGACTCATAGCGACCCTGTACAGGGTTTCTGAGGAGAGGCTGGTGGGTTTGAACTGCTGACCTTGTGGCTAGCAGTGCAGTACTGACCATATAGCTCCACACCAGGACTGATAATGTAGCCCAAACCAAACCCACTGCCCATGAATCGATTCCCACTCGTAGCAACCCTGTAGGTCAGAATCGAATCCTTAGGGCTTCCGAGATTGTAGTCTTTATGGGAACAAACTGCCTCGTCTTCTTCCTGTAGAGCAGGTGACGGGTTTGAACTGTTAACAGGTGAGAGCTTAGCCCACAGTGCCACCGGGGCTCCTAGGATCCGGTCCACCTAGTCACAGTATCAAGGAAAATCGCAGAATGGCCGGACTTGCATCTTAGAAGGAATTGTAGCTATGGCTCCGTAATGTTTCCCGTGGGCTTTCTGTGCAAGGCCGGGTGACTGACGCATAATGACGTTATCTGGTGCTTGACGGAGGAGGGGCTTCAAAAACGTTGTGGAAAGAGTCCATTCCCCTTTCATTTCATTTTTCCACGCACTTTTTGGAGGCCCCTCTTACGTGTAGAGGTCTGTGATACAACAACTATAAAGCATTGCTTGTCCAGGGGTTGTGTGGATGACTCACGCCCAGAGCACTAATGTTCTTGGAAACAGGATTTTTTGAAATGGTCGGTAGTTTAGGGAAACTTCCAGCAAACTGAGCGTCGTCCTTTACCTGGTAATGCATCCCAGGTTCATGTCTCAGCTCCCTGGGGGCCGCAGGACTCTGTTGAGAACCACTGTTTTGAGGGTCTTCGTGGTAAAAGCCGGAGCTCTGGTCGCATAGTGGATTACGAGCTGAGCTGCTAACTGCAAGGTCAGCAGTTCAAATCTACCGACTGCTCCGTTGGAGAAAGATGAGGCTTTCTGCTCCCAAAAATGTTTCAAGGCCTCGGAAACCCTATGCAGGATCACTATGAGTTGGAACCGACTCCACGGCACATACCCACCACCAACTGTGGTGAAAGCAGATGACTTGTTCTCATTGTGCTTGTGTATTATAGATAAGGACTTTTCTGTGTCCTCGAAAAATGCTCGTTTGTAAATCTAATTCCTGTTGTTGTTTTTCAGGCACGTGGACCCCATTTAACCCAGTGACTGTCCGTTCAATCATATGTGAGTGCAGCTGGTGGTGGACCTGTGCGGGCAGGGTCACGCAGGGCTCTTCCCCTCATGACTGGCCCCGGGCTGGGCCTTCCCTGTCCTCCTCTGGGGGCGTCATTTCTTCTCTCCTGGAGCTCTAGTTCTATGGATGGTGACCTCTGTCCTCCTGTCCTCCCTGTCTCTCCACCTCCTCTCCTTGTGCTGTTTAGATGTGCGTCTACTCACTATTTTGCTTTTAATCTGTTAAACCCATCCTTTCAGTGACTAATATAGTTTATATGTTTGCTTATATTTCATTTATAAATTATTGCTCAGTTAGAATCCAATAATATATATAAAAGAAATAATGACCTGGTGGAATTCATACCAGATATGCAGGGATGGTTCAGTATTAAAACAAAAATAACCAATATAATTCAGCACATAAAGAAAAAAAGAAAAAACAAAACAAAACATGTCATCATCTCAGTTGGTACAGAAAAGGCATCTGACAAAATCTAGCACTCACTCCTGATTAAAAGAAAGAAAAATTAAAAAACAGGAATAGAAGGGAAATTCCTCAACATAATTAAGGGCATTATTCAAGACCAACAACCGACATCCCTGTCAATGGTGAGCAACTGAAGTCATTCCCCCTGTGAACAGGAAACACAAGGATGCCCATTATCACCACTCACCAGTCCAATTCAGTCTTGGGCCGGAGCTGTAAGGCAGGAAAGGGAAATGAAATTGGCCAAGAAAAAGTAAAACTGTTTGCAGACGACGATATGATTCTACACTTTGAGAATCCCAAAGACTTTGCAGGAAACCTATTGGAACTCATCAATAGTTTCATCGAAGTGTTGGAGTACAGGATCAGCATCAGTTGGATTCCTATACCAAAGAGAGTTCTGTTAAGGAAATCAGGAAACCATTACCTTTTATAACTCTTGTTAAGTGACGTCAAGCCAGCTCTCATAGTGAACCCTGATAGGATTTCTGAGGAAGCTGCCAACCTCGAGGTTCAAACTTACTTTGTGGTTGAGTGCTTGTACCAGGACTGCACATTTACATTAGCCACCCGAAAGCTGAAACACTTGGGAATAAATCTAACCAGAGAAACAAAAGCCCTAAATAGGGTTTGTTAAGTGTCATCAAGTCGGTTCCGACCCATAGCGACCCTGTGTGGGGTTTCCAAGGAGTGGATGGGGAGCTTCAACCATTGACCTTGCGGCTCAAACCAACTTTGCAGTCCAGCGCATTAACCTACAACTCTGCACCAGGGTTTCATAAGAAACCAAAAAAAGACCTGCAGAAATGGAGGACTAGACCCTGCTCGTGGCTAGGAAGACTTAACATTGAAAATGTCAGCATTACCCAAAGCACTCTACAGCTACAATGCGACACCAGGACCCCTGTGCTGGGAGGTGGCTGTTTATTCCTCATTGGTCTTTCAGGGCCCCTTTAATAGGGGAGCTGGGGTCCCGTTCTTAACTCCTCAGTTTCATCTCTGGTGGCCACAGTCCCAAGAGTGGGGCTCATTGCCCCTGTGCCACTCACTGGTTTTCTTAGGCTGATTCCCCCTTTCTTAAGATCCCAGTGTTGCTTAGGGCATTGAGTGCCATGTGAGTTTTAGAGGACAGGTAGCAGGAACTCTCGTTTCAGATGTTCTTCCAGCCATGGAAGGTGCCATTGAGTTGGTTCTGACCCATAGTGACCCTGTGTACAACTGAATGAAACACCGCCCAGTCCTGCACCATCTGCAGTTGTGGCTACATTTGAAGCCATGGTTTTTGCCACTAGGTCAAGCCATCTCATTGCGAGGCTTCCTCTTTTTCGCTGACCCTCTACTTTGCAAGTATGATGTCCTTCTCCAGAGACTGGTCCCTCCTGGCAGCATGTCTGAAGTGTGAGAAAGATGAAATCTTGTCATCCTTTCTCTAGGGAGCATTCTGGCTGTCCTTCCATCACAGATGAGTTCTTCTGGAAGCCCATGGTACTTGGAATAGTGTTCACCACCATCACGATTCCAGTATGTGGCGCCTTCTCCGGTCTGACTCACGGTCTGACTGCCACATGTACAGGAAGTACTTGAAAATGCCCGGCCTTGGGTCACGTGCACACCTCACACTGAGTCTGGAGGTACTGTGGGAGACTGCACCTTTTAGGCGCCCTTCAGCCTTACTCCCTGGCATTCTGTGTAATCTTCACACCTGCATCCCCTTCAGTAGGAGGGAGAGAGTTGTCATAGTAACTTGTGCCTGAGGAATGACATTGAAGATACGCGGTCTGGAGGAGAGCTGCCCATACTTGCCTGGTTGTGGAGACACCTGGATTCTGCCTCTGCTCCTCCAGACACCACCAGAGGGACACAGTGAGGTCTGAAGCCACTTCCTGCCCTGTAGACACCACTTCCTGTGTGCTCAGTGCCCCGTGTCCACCTGCTTTCATCATGTCCAGCCTGTGGATCCTGCATCCGGGAGCAGCCATGTGAAAACCAACCGTGTGGGGACTGATGAGAGGAAACACTGATAGTTTCTTGTGGGATTTCTTGTTGAACCTCAGTGTGCTGACCATACCAGAGGATCTAACCCTAACCTCCACCCGAGAAATGCCAGGTCATCTGTGTCATCTCTGCAGCCATAATTGAGACTGAGTTTTTACTTATTTATTTATTTAAGGTTTTTATTGTGGATTGAATGAAAGTTTACAGGGCATATCATCAATTTTACATTTAGCAAATCATAAACCTTGTTTCATTACATTGATTATAATCCCCTCCATGTACCATCAGTTAACAGTGTTTCTCTCTATTCACTTTAGCTTTTTAAAAAACACACAAACAAAACCACTCAGGCATATATAATAAATTACATCTCCAAAGGGCACATTCTACAAGTCTGCCTCCTGGCCACCAGCTCTTAGTCCCTCTCTTCTTAGTCCATGAATCAAGAGTCCTCAGCCGCTCCCCCTCTCCATGTCCCCATCTCTGCCTCCATCTCTGGTGCTGCTGCTTCTTTGGATAAGGTCCCGCATTCTATTTGTGCGTTCCTCTCTTTATGGTCCTAGGGTCCTCTGTTTCTGGACTGTAGTTAAGATCAGCCACTCCCCCTTTTTTTGTTACAAAACTTCTACCTTTACAATTGTGACAGTTGTGATTAGTCATGATAACAGTTATTCACTATTGAATCTTATGAATTTTATCCCCATCTCCTTTCACCAGACCCATCTAGACAAGATGACAGCTATTCAGTGGGGACTCTTTCTTTCCCCCAACCCTCTTAAACTAAGCTCCCTCTTTAAACCTTGTAAGCCAGTCACTTCGTGCCTTTATTGCCCCGTCATTTTAGGTAGCCAATGTCTAAGTTGCCCATCCCTATCTACCCTGTGCACAGAGCGGATAGCATTGATACTTGATTTGAAGACTCTTTCCCTCTCTCTTGGTATTTAGAGTAACTACCGCTCTGAGTATAGGTCAGGTTCATCATGAAGATGTATCTTCTGTCACTGTAGCTGTTCCAGTCTGCTTGTCCTTTCTAGTGGGAATGTCTCATCTCACAAGGTTGTGGATGGGACTCAGGATTCCACCTAAGGTCCTATACTCTGTAAAGGCTTTGCACGAGGCCTATTTCACTGGGCAAGTTGTAGAACCCCTTTTAGGTATTCCAAGTTTTAAATTTATTTTTTAGCCAGTTTGCAGTTACATTTGTCTTTGAATTTTGACCTGGAGTTAGATTGAATCCCCACCCACCACCCATAAAATCGTCTTGATTTTAAGAAAAAAACACGAAACAACTGATCTGTAGTTGTAGAGGCTTCTTGTGTGTGGGGTGGGCTGCCGCCGCCATGACCCCTGCACTCCCTTTGTAGTGGGGGAGCAGCGCCCGTGTTGGGCCGGGGTACTTGCCTAGTGGTCACCTGTGCGGCCACACGCTGGGGACTCAGGGCTGGGAGTCGAGTGCAGCCGTGACCTGCCCTGACCTGTTGTCTGTTGCAGCCATGTTCGACCGAGAGAACAAGGCCGGCGTGAACTTCAGCGAGTTCACCGGCGTCTGGAAGTACATCACGGACTGGCAGAACGTCTTCCGCACCTATGACCGGGACAACTCTGGGATGATTGACAAGAACGAGCTCAAGCAGGCGCTCTCAGGTTTTGGTAATTTGTTGTCTTGACTGTGTAGCTGATTTCATTTTGGAACCCCAGTTCAGCTCACTGATTTTGTGACCAGCCCTGTAAATTTGTGTTGCCATCACACTGGCTTGGAGTTGGCATGTCTGTTTACCTCTGAAGGCTTGTGTTTAATACAGCAGCCTGGTGACGCAGTGCTAAGTGCGTGACTGCTCACCGAAAGACCAGCGCTCCCAGACCCCGAGCTGCTCTGAGGGAGAGGATGAGGCTTCTGGGAACCCTAAGAGGTAGCTCTGCCTTGTCCTCAACGCTCCCTAGGAGTCAGAATCGACCCCATGGCACCAGCTTTTGGCCATCGTCATATTTGATATGGACGTTTTTCTATAGTTTTCACCCAAAATGAGATGTGGGCTATGCAGGTTCTTTGTCCTTTTGTAATGCAGTGACACAAATAAAATTGAGAATGTGGCTTTTCAAACAACAAACAAGTGAGTAAGGGCACTTTGCTCTTTCAGGATAAACCAAATTGTTACGTGGAAAAGACGGTGAAAAAACTACAACTTAAGTCATGACTGAGATCGAGCCTCACAGACAGGAAGATCACATTCCCCATTCTCAAGTGAACATGTGCTGTGTGTGCCCGTGTGTGTACACTGCCGGGCCTTGGTATGTGTACCCGTGTGTGTACACTGCCAGGCCTTAGTGTGTGTATCCATGTTGTGTGTGTACACTGCCGGGCCCTAGTGTGTGTACCCGTGTGTGTGTACACTGCTGGGCCTTAGTGTGTGTACCCGTGTGTGTACACTGCCGGGCCCTAGTGTGTGTACCCATGTGTGTGTACACTGCCGGGCCTTAGTGTGTGTCCCTGTGTGTGTACACTGCCGGGCC